CCGCCATCATCATTTTCAAAGCATTCTCTTCCCACTGGAGCCCCTGATATCAGCTCCCCATTTGTTCCCCCTCCCTCCCCTCCCCGTCCTCCCTCAAGAGCACTTGATAAGTTATAGATTATTTTTTCCATATCTTACATCGTCCTCCGTCACCCCTCACTCACTTTTCCATTATTCGTTCCCCTGGGAGAGGAGTCTAGGTTGATCCTTGTGATCCATTTCCCCTTTCTCTCCCCCTCCCCACCCTCCCCTAATCCTCCTGGTGTCTCTACTCTCATTGTTGGTCCTGAGGGGTTTATCTATCATGGATTCCCTGTGTTTCAGGCTCTTTTTTTAGCAGTGTGCATGCTCTGGTCTTATCATATTTGTTAGGTAGAATTGAGGTCATGATAGTGGGGTGAAGGAAGCACCAAAGAACTAGAGGAAAGTTGTGTGCTTCATTGGTGCTACACTGCACCCTGACTGGCTCATCTCTTCCCTGTGACCCCCTCTGTGAGGGGATGTCCAATTGTCTACAGATGGGCATTGGATCTCCACTGCATGCCCCACTCCCCATTCACCTTGTGCACGGCTTTATTCTGGGTCTTAGATGCCTGATACCTGATCCCATCGACACCTCATGATCACACAGGCTAGTGTGCTTCTTCCATGTGAGCTTTGTTGCTTCTGAGCTAGATGGCTAGATGGCTAAAGGCTATCTTCAAGCCTTTAAGACCCCAGATGCTAAATCTTTTGATAGCTGGGCACCATCAGCTTTCTTTACCACATTTGCTTATGCACCCACTTTGTCTTCAGGGATCCTGCACCGACTAAATTTATAGAACAGCACCACCAGGGCATTCACCTCCAGCGGGCAGCGCCCTAGCCTCTAGGCTCTTCACGCACTCAGTTACCAGTTCTTACAGCCTCGATAGTCACCTCTCAGTTGAATACCAACGTATCTTTATCAGGGTTCAATCTTTTTCTGAGTGTTTTGCATGACTCCATCAAGGGATCTTACTTATGTTGATTAATATACTCTATTTTGATTAATATCTTCTAAGACTCTGATTGCCCTCGAATTGTCCTGTACTCCTTCTCCTCAGTCGCAGCTTGGTCTAAGTGACCTTCCGCATGCCTGCCCCTCTAGGACTCTCAGACTGTGCGCTCAAGTTCCAGGGACACTTACAGCCATTGCTCTCGGTGTTGCCCCAGCCAGAGATGAGGCACTGGGTGCCAGCGGGAGCACAGGATCTTGGCAGAGCGATGGAGGATACACGGGAACTCATGGTAGCGGGGGAGCTCAGTTTAATCAGCATGATGTCGTTGTCGATGTTGGCTGCGTTGTACTTGGGGTGGCGGATGATCTTGGCAGCATTAATGAACTGCTCGTTGCCCTCAAGGAGCTCAATGTTGTATTCTCCCAGACGCACCTGGATCCGGCTGAATTAAAGGATTAATAGCTCCCCAAGTGTCCAACTTGAGCCCCCCCTCCCCCTCCCCCACACTGCTGCATACTCCCCAGGCTCCTGTAATGACTAGGATTACTTTGTGATTCATGTCCCCAAGATCCTTTAGGTGAGATGCCCCCTTCGTGCCCGCCTACTTCAAGATTCCCATCATCAAGGAAACTTCAGCAGGCCTGCTCCATGGAGAAGTCCCGCCCTCTCCTCTCCGCCGGATACCTTACAACTCCTAGAGAAATAGTGGAGCTCTTCCTAACTCCATAGGTCACTTCCCAAGCCTGGCTCTGTAGGGCTCCCTGGCTTTGGCATGACCGAGGGTGCGTGGATCTTCAAACACAAGGACGTGGGCATTGATACTTACGACTTGTAGCAGTGAGCTGCGGACACCACCCACTGGTCGCTGATGAGGGATCCACCGCAGAAATGGTAGCCTGCGTTCAGGGACACCTGGTAGGGTACAGAATTCTCCCGGCAGGTGTAGCCCCCGACGATCTTGTCATCATCGTCCGTGGCGAAAGCAACTGGCAGAAAAGAGGCATAGAACGACCTGTGAGCTGATTCTCCTTGGAATCCTCTGCCATGCCGTTCTTGTAGAGCCATCAGTCAACAGCAGTCATGCTCTTGTGTCCCAGAGAGCCAGGAAACAATGGCCTTCAGGTAATCTGTCCCCGAAATGTGTTATCCTGTCTTTAACACACGCCCTACTTATGTCATTCTAAACATTTCATTTCCATCCTTTGCTTCACATTTGTAGCTTCTTCTCTATGTGTGTAACACATACTCACATTAATGGAGCCGTGATCCCTTACATGTAAAACGTCTTACACAGCACTACTACAGTAAAAAGCATACTTTTTTCCCACACTACCCTGCTCAACAAACGTGTCCAAGTGAAGCCTTGCCTTATTCTGTGGTGTGTGTGTTTTCAGTGGTTGGGAGATGATTTCCCCAAGTGGTAATGGAGAAAAAGCACCGGAGAATGCATTTTTTTCTGAAGTTCTTCTTTTTCAGGCCTCAACGTGCCATCGTATCATTTCTGAAAACATTTTAGGCCCCTTGTCCCCATGCTTCTCCTTATCTCAACTATCTCAGTAGTGCTTATCAATTAATTTAGGTATATGCAGAGCAACCCACTAACTTATTGAAATTTCCTGCAATCACAAAAGTTGGTGATTATTTATGAGCCCTCCTGCTCAAATATTTAGAAATCAGTTTAAGGCGGAGGTTTCCAGGTGTCTAGAGGAAGTTCCCAGATGTAGTGAAGTTACACCTGCTTAGAGATGGGGGAGATGTTGTATTCTATTTTCTTATTATACATTTTAGTAATCTAAAACAAACATATTCATTTATCTGTTGTTTTCTTTTCATGATTAAAATATATATAACAACTCACTCAGAAAGACTTCATTCACCAACACAGATGTTATTAACACAACCCCATATACAGCCTTCACTCATGAGAAGTAAAATCTCTCCATCTCTCGGATTCCTTGGCTGTTTCTTCTCACAGAGTCTTGGGCTCTGTCATTCAGAGACTCCTCAGGGAGCACAAAATTCACATGGGTATGTACTCAAATACCAAATGAAATGTTGATGGTTCAAGTCCACCTGTAGGCAACTTGAGAGTCTTGCTGATCCACTACTGAAAAATCAGCTGTTGAAAACTCAGTGTAAAAACTTCCACACTGACACAACCAGGTGTGCCATGAGACGGGGTTGGTTCAAAGGCACTGTTTTTAAGCTAACACTAAATCCTCAAGAAGGTCAAGGCAGGACTCCTAAGTGTGTACTGTCTCTGCCTCTCCTTCTTCTGAGCTGTACCTGTTATTTCAAGTTCAGAGCAAGTCCTACCTCTTTGATGCTTCTACCCTGGTCACTCTGCTCACCATGGCCTTCAGCCCTCATACCCAACGTTGAGTGGCGACGAAGAACCTGTGTGGTATGTATTGCTCAGCGCTTGCTATTACAATGTACTAGGACTCTTGAGACTAAGACTACTATTCATTGTTGTCTTGCAGAACACAAAGTTAAACACAGGTGATTGACACCTGTGATAGACACCCACTGATTCAGTGTAAGAGACTCACCAGCAGCTCCCAGGAGAGCGAGGAAGATGAAGGCCTTCATGGTTGCTCAGTGGATCAGGGCTGGGGATTAGGATGAAGGAGGCTCCTCTACTGCTATTTATACCTCCAGATGGGCCACTAGCACTCACGGTCATGGGTGCCAGAAACGTGGTCTCATTGGAAACTCACAGATCCAAATTTAGAATCCAGCCTGTTCCAGGTGGAGACTCGTTCAGTGTCAACCCCTGTGCACTTTTCTAGAAGGTCATGAGAATGGAAGCAATGGGTCCACCTGGTGGGAACTGTGGCCCACAAGAGGAAAGGGAGCTGCAGTCAGGTGCCAGGACACAGCCACAGGTGTCCTGACTCCCAGACTAAAATCTTAGGGACTTGGCTGTCCTGGCTGTGAACTTTGATCTGAAGCATCGTCTCGAGCCCTGTGGTCTTGGTGTTTAATCAATACAGTTCTTTGGACACTTTTAATAATGTATCTTGTGGTAATTCAGGTAAAATTGTGCAAACTTGTCATCACTTATAACAACTTGTCCTCCAGAGAAAAGGAAAAATATTCTGATTTGAAACAATAATGTAGCAAAAGAGGACAATTTAGCAATCCTTCTAATGACCCTGCAAACTTGTTGCCATCGAGTCACCTTCAATGTATGTTGACCTTGTGTGTGTCCATCGAACCGTGTTCAACAGAGTTTTCAATGACTGACTTGTTATAAACAGATCTCCAGAATCTTCTTCCAAGATGTCTCTGGGTGGGTTTGAACCATCATCCTTTTGGCTAGTAGCCCAGCAAATATGTATTTGTGACACAAGTGTACTGTGGTAACCTTATGACACCTACTATTATGCTTATTTTACCCATGTTAAAATTGTGCTATAGAGAAGTACAAAGGACCTAGCCAAACTGTCACAGGAACTGTGTGGTAGGTTGGGGATTTCAACATAGGACACCTGGCTTCAGTGTCCACGCTCCTAACAGTGTGAATCACTGCCTTAGCCATTCACCTCGTAACCATGGTAACAGAGATTCCTTGAGCAAAGACCATAAGATGTGAACAACAAAGCCTCTTTCTACATCAGCCACGATACTAAATGATTTACACAGTTTGTCCCACTGCACCCTCAAAACCCTCCAAGTGTGTGCTTTCATTTCTCTACTCTGTGAGGCATGGGGAGGGTGAGGCTTAGAGAAGTTAGGAGTTTGGATGACAGTCCCATAGATACTGAGTGGTCAATCCTGGGTTCAAACACACACACCATCTGGGAAAGAATATGAACTCTGCTAAACTAAAGGCTGCTTCCAAATGGCATGCATGTGGCCTCCTGGACATTACACGGAATGGGATCCTGAAGACAAAGTGGTCAGGATTCATGGATATGAGAGCTAGATCCAGATGGCAGACTAGGGAGGTATACTGTCCAGACCCTCTACAACAAAAACTCAAGAAATCGAGTGGACCAGATGCAGAGACGGTGCCTCTTCTGGAACCCAGTGCTTCAAAGGCAAGCATAAAGACGTAGATTAAACACAGGAATGAAGGAAGAGACTGACTGAAAGCAGCAGCTGTGGATACACAAAGAGCAGTAGACTTCCATCCAGCACTGTGGGGCCCCATTGCATTAGTGCAAGCAGTGCTTGATCCAGGGCAGGTATCAGGTAATAGACTCTACTTTCTAAGGACTGCACTGGAATCCATGTCAGTGGCTGGATACCAGAGAAGTGTGATGTCCCCTCTTCCACTACCCAATCTCCCAGTGGCGAGATAAAAGCACCCCCTCATCGGGCAGCGGGTTAAACTCTGCCCAACTCCACACATTGCTGTATGGCTTCTTTTTCTCTTTTTTGTTCTTCCCTTAACCTTCTTTTCTTTCTTCTTCTTCCTTCACACTCCCCCCACACCGCCCATTCCAATCCTTTCATCACCTTGATTAGTGCCATCTGTCCACACCCCTGCCCCTTCATGCAGCCATGTTTGGTGGCCAGCACGTTTGCTAGAACTGCACTGATGTTGCTGCTGCTGCTTCAAATGTTGTTTGTCTTTCTTCTTAGTGCTTCCCTCATCCACATCCCTCCTTGGTCTCTTTTGGTGTTTATATCTTATACCCGCTTTTTTTGTTTGCTGGTTTCTGACTCTGTGGAGCAGGTTCCCAAGGCCCCCACCTTCAGTGACCAACATTGCCCCCCTCCACCCTTCCCTGGATGGCACTATGCACTTCCTCCACAGCGGTGTGTGCCAGCTCTCATTGCACCAACACTGGACTCTCTCCTTTCTTTCTATTTCCTCCTTTTTCTTTCTCTTCCTTCTTAGGCTTTCCCTCTTAACCCCTTGTTTCACTCACCGCTCCCCCCCACCCCCCACCATTTTGTTTGTTAATTACTTTTGCTTCCTCTTGCCACCCACCAATTTTTTTCTCCAGCAGCCAGGCACCAGTATTAACCTACCCAGATAGACATACCACACCTGCCACCCTACCCAGTGGGTGAATGTTACTACCAACTCCAGCAAGATGGATGCCATCAGTCAAGTGACAAGAAGGTACAGTATTGATAAGAAAGCATGGCCCATTCCATCATGCTCACCTTCCCAACACAATCGCTGAAGACAAAGTGGGTGCAAAAGCAAATGTGGTGAAGAAAGCTGATGGAGCCCAGCTATCAAAAGATATAGCTTCTGGGGTCTTAAAGAGTTGAAGGTAAACAAGTGGCCATCTGGCTCAGAAGCAACAAAGCCCACATGGAAGAAGCACAGCAGCCTGTGTGATCACGAGGTGTGGAAGGGATCAGTTATCAGGCATCAAAGAACTAAAAGTCATATCATTGTGAATGAGGGGGAGTGTGGAGTGGGGACCCACAGCCCATCTGTAGGCAACTGGACATCTCCTTACAGAAGGGTCACAGAGAGGAGACGAGACAATCAGGATGCAGTGTAGCAATGATGAAACATACAACTTTCCTCTAGTGCTAGACCAGAGGATGTACACTGGTACAGATAGGAACTGGAAACACAGGGAATGCAGGGCAGATGATCCGGTCAGGACCAGTGGTGAGAGTGGCAATACTGGGAGGGTGGAGGGAGGGTGGGGTAGAGAGGGGGAACCGATTATAAGGATCTACATATGACCTCCTCCTTGGGGGATGGACAATGGAGGAATAGGTGAGGGGAGATGTCGGACAGTGTAAGATATGACAAAATAATAATTTATAAATTATCAAGGGTTTGTGAGGGAGGGGGTAGTGAGGAGGGAGGGGGGAAATGAGGAGCTGATGCCAGGGGCTTATGTGGAGAGCAAATATTTTGAGAATGTTGAGGGTAACGATGTACAAATGTGCTTTATACAACTGATGTCTGTATGGATTGTGATAAAAGTTGTATGAGCCCCCAATAAAATGATTTTTTAAAAGTACTTTTAAAAAATGATGACAACATATATACAAATATGCTTGATATAATTGATGTATGGATTGTTATAAGAGCTGTAAGAGCCCCCAGTAAAACGATCTTTTAGTAATAATTTTTAAAAAGAAAAGAAAGCTTGACCCATCGATGTATGCGGTCTGTAAGAGAAACACTTCACACACAGTGACAGAAGTAAGTGAAAAATGAAAGGATGAACGAAAACGGCAAGAAAATGCAACCTGTGGAGAGCATGACAACTTTGAACAGAATAGGCTCGAAAGCAAGCTCCAGCAAAGGAGACCCAAAGGGCGTTTCACAACGAATGCAAGGTACTCCGATAAGCGGACAGGCCACGAACATCTATGAGCCCGATGAAAGGCCTGAAAACCACAGCACGCTTTCACAGACCTGAAAGGGAACTAGATAACGCTGCAATCATAGTGAGAGTTTAACAGACCATTTTGATGAAAAACAGAACTAGAAGGAAACTCAACAATTCAAAAATCCCAAAAAACAATTTTTTTAGTTCAAGAAACAAAGAAACTCAGCAATTCAAAAAGTAATTCATAAAGCTCAATCAATAGATAACAGATGATTTAAACAACCCAATCCACTAACTAGACCTCATAGACGTGTATAGAACACTCCACCCAAGAACAGAGCGATAGAGTCTTTTCCCAGGCACACAGGATAGTCTCCAGAAGAGACCGTATGTTCAAACTCCTGGTCTCGTGGTTAGCAGCCCAGCTACTAACCCACTACAACACCATGGCTCATAGAAACCCCACATAGTGTTCCTGAGACTTAAATCTTTACAAGATTAGACAGTCTCCTCTTTCATCATGGGAGTAGCTAGTGGGTTTAAACCCATGACCTTGAGGTTAGCAGCCTAATGCTTTCCCCACAGCACCATAGAAGGCCAAATATCCAATCTGCAGGTGATTTAGAACTGAGAGTAACCCTGGAGCTACTACAGACTAGATAAGGCACAAAAGAAATTACGCTTCAGGTAAAAAGCTGGCCAGCTTTGCCAGCAGCTCTCCAACCAGCCAAGGCTCTGCTAACACAGACGCAACCTTGACCAGGGTCACAGAACGCCCCTCTTCTGGTCATTCAGAGCCCAGCAAGGTCTGCTGCAGAGTCACCGGGCTGTGACCCACAGTTCAAAAAAAGAAATTATCATTAATTGGGAGTTAATACATATTCATATCATTCCATAATTCAATCACGTCAAGCAGAATTGTACAATTGCTACCACAATAACTTTCCAAATATTCTTTTGCTTCCTGGACTCGTTAGCATTGTCTTTCTTTCACTCCCCACTAGCACTGTACCCCACCCCCCCAAAATCCTTACTCTATTTTCAGTCCCTATAGGTTCATCAGTCCTGGGTTTCATAACCCGAAACACAGAGAAACATAATAACACAACTTCAAGAGGGGGACCTCCAATGACATAACACCATGCAGGCACATCCTACTATGAACAAACAAAAACAAAACAAAGCCCAAATATAGAAAATGTTGAAAACCAGGTCAGATCCAGCATGCACTGGAGTCGGGAATCAACTGCCAAAGTTTTAACTGTTCGGTTCCGATTTATACCTCTGATCTTCTATACTCATCTCGCTAAGACACTCCGTATAGGAGCC